CTTTCGAAGTCGGTGAGTCTCGACGAGTCTCTGAAGCCTTTAGCGAAAGGGTTGCTGTCGATTTTGAGCTTGGTGATGAGCTGGTTCTGGTATGCAGTGACGGCGGTGAACACCGTCTGCGGGAAGATGTAAGTTCGATGGTCCTCTTGCTCGAGGTCGCTGATGGGACCAGAGAACCCCTCCTTCAGCCTTACCAGGTGGATCCTAGGCTGGTACCGGTGCATCGAGTTCAGCACGATCTGTTGGCACGGACACGGGAAGATTATTGTACTACTTTATGAGGTGTTAAGCCCATGCGAGTCATTCAATATACATAAAAAGGTCCTAAATATTATAAATATATAGAACTATGAGAACAAAGATACAAATTTCAGAACGTTTCTGTACTGTCTCTGTCTTCTTATCGAAAATGCGTCATATCATCCATATAAATCTATGTTTTATGAATGCTTGGAGGGAAGGAGCTAAGGAAGACTTCCACGGGAAAATCTTGATTACGCTACAGGATAAAGGTATACATTCACTTGTGTAATTGTTTCTTCAAATGGTCACTTAAGGATACGGTTCATATTTTGTGCCTCAATATGCTCTTGCGCCACCGTCCACAGGTTGGTTATGGGGTGCACAATAAACTAGCCACTACCGTCCACAGCATAGATACGAGGTACACATACTAGCCATTTCAGTGACAAAAACAAATTCTGTCATGTGTAGTCCTTTGCCTATCAACTTTCAGTTATTAATGCGTCTACTGTATTCGACTCAATTTTTGTCCTGACAACGCTGTACATAAATAACAACGCATATGAATCTTCTTGAAGACGAGAGAAAACAAAAATCTAAATGCTTTAGAAGCCAACACTTCAAGAAGTGTACGCTCTCTCTCTCTCTCTCTCTCTCTCTCTCTCTCTCTCTCTCTCTCTCTCTCTCTCTCTCTAAACAAATGAGCAGAGTCCTCAGGGGTGACAAGGGCCTGAGACACACAGGAGGGTGAGCCATCCACAGTCAATGAGACGTAAAGTCTTTCATTGAGACTTCATCCTTGTTCATTCTGCTCTTCCGTCTCCGCCCTCATTTGGCTTACTGCCGCTGTCAAGCCCGGCTATTTGGCGACTCTCTCTGCTATAGTGCCTTGCATTTTGTTGGCACTTCCGAAGCAGTGTCAAAAACACTTAGCTCTTTACACAAGCGTTCTGTTGTCATTATTAAAGATGCAGGCACAGAGCAAGCTTTTATTGACACAAAGCTTCGCTCTGCACAGAGCTTTACCATCTCGATGCTTAAATTGATAAAGCTTAACACAACAAACTGCCTTTTCTCTAACAAAATCAGTTATGTTCGACAGCGACAAGTCTAAGAATTTTTTTGCAAGATGGTGGTGGTGGTAGGTGGTGGTGGTGATGTAGGTGGTGGTGATGTAGGTGGTGGTGATGTAGGTGGTGGTGATGTAGGTGGTGGTGATGTAGGTGGTGGCGATGTAGGTGGTGGCGATGTAGGTGGTGGTTTATGATCCAGGTGGTGGTGGTAGTGGTGATGGTTTGTCGGTGATGCAGGTGGAGGTGATGGTGGATTGTCGGTGATGCAGGTGGTGGTGGTGAACATTGTGGTGTGTGTGTCAAGAGGGATGGTGGTCGTGGTGTCACTGTCAGCGGCGGCGAAGGGAAAAAGAACACACAATACTTAATCAACGTCTGTCTTTAGACGACTGACAGCCCGAGACTTGGCTACTAACGTCACTCGTAGTGACGACACACAAGTTGCATAACAAGCTTTTATTACGAAATCTTTTCGCTCCGTGTTGAGCATTTTCAAGTCATAAGAACTGTTAATTAAGCCCTCTACAGGGCGAAACGTTGTCCCAGTAAATGATTGTTTCGTAACCTTCAGTACTGTTGGCAGTACAATATTTGGCACTTACGGAACTCTGGTAGTATCTTGGCTCGTTTAAGCTAAAGTGGTCGACCTAACGTGACTCGTAGTGTCACGACTCTGTCAAACTGAAGTGGTCCGTCTTAGGTGACACCTGTGGTGCTGTCGAAACTCAAGCTGAAAGGGTCCTAAGTCTCTCTCTCTTGTGTTCTAATGGCTCATTCAAACTGAAGTTGTCGAGTTTAGCACGCTGAGGTATGTCATTGTGCTGTGCGCTAAAAGGAAGGGAGGGAAGGAAGGATGCTTCGATGCTGGTGAAGGGCTCTTGATCCGGAATTGGAACTGCGTTTTGGGGGCAAAATCCGATTACCTCCTATTCCCCAGGAGTTTTAGGCCTTTACGATTTAGGCTCTTATTGATGAATGTTATTAATAATAATATACCTTTGGTAAGTTTCAAGAGCTTTCCTACTCCCGCAGCTTGGCCCTGGGCGAGGCTTGTCTAGTGTTTGCCTGGTCAGCCAAACTGTTGCTGCTTGTGACACACTGGCTCCCATATACATTATAGCCTACTTGATCCGGCACTTGGAGGAAGTACTTCTTGAGTTTCTTCTTAAAGACTTCCACACTTGTTATGACAGTGTTTCTGATATCTTCTGATAAGATATTAAAAAGTCTGGAACTACGGATGCTGATACAATGTTCTGTAATTGTGCCCACGGCCCTCCTTCCTTTTACTGGGTTTAGTCTACGTTTTTTTCCATATCTCTCACTATTATGTTGTGACAGTGTGTAGATTTCTGACAAGGTCATCAGTACTTTCGCGTATATATTATCCCGTATCTCTCTTCCACTCCAAGTACACATTTAAAATTCTGAGTTGTTCCCAGTAATTTAAATGTTTTATTAGGTCTTTGTGAGCTTTAAATGATCTCTGAATCTGTTCCAGCTCTGATCTCTCTCCTGCCCTGAACGAAGCCATCAACAGTGATCAATATTCTAAGCGAGAGAGCACAAGCTATTGCAACAGTGTCACCACTGACACTATTTCCCTGGCCACCACCTCTATCTCTTCTCCCCGCCAGACCCCTCACCTATATCCCCATATTACCAACTTCCTTACCTCTTCTTCCCACCTTTCTTTGATCTTTTCCTCCTTCCACCGCCTCCTTCCGCCATCTCCCAACTACCCTTTCTCCACTTCCCCCCTCCTTCCTCACCAGGAGTCACCCCTAGCCTTCTTTCCAACCCCTCCTGGCTTGCTTCCATCACCATCCTACATCTTCCTGGGTCGGGACAGCCACGGACACTGATGTCCCTAAATGGCGAGTGAATCGAATCTGACAATGTGTCTTGCCCTTAATGATAAAGTCAGAATTATGGTGATTAAGTGTCATGCTATGATGCATACTCAGACGCACACCGACGCAGAGAACCTCGGTCCCACTGAACGCAGGACGCAGGTAGTGCCCCTGTAGCTCAACGGACAATGCTTGGCTCAAAAAAAAAAAAAAAAAAAAAAGTCCCGGATTCGATCACGGACGGAGCGAGTCATATGGCCATTTTTTTTTTTTACCCAGACATGTTCCCGTAGGAATAGGCACCTCCCTCCTTCCCTCCCTCTCCCTAAGTACCCTTCCATTCATCGTATTCGTCTCTCCATCTATCTTTCCATTCATTCATCCAAATTTTCTTCCATTCCTCCCTTTACCCTTCCCTCCAACTACCCTCCCTCCCTCCCTCTGACAAGCAAGTTCGTTTACCAAAACATTATTCCCCCCTCAATAATTCCCCCGAAAAAATTCACAAACGAAAAATGAAATGAATCACTGAAAATTTTTAGTAACAGAGGTGGCGTTTTATTCGCCGAAAAAATTCATAGTGGTTTAAAATGCTTTTCTAAAAATATGATAGCGTTTAGATTCATAAAATCGGTAAAACTATACGAGTTTGGGATGCACTCTGGCTGCCCCTGACAGTCAGGGAGTAATGTAATTACCTCTGTCTCCCATTTAATACTGTAAATAAATAATGCTGGATGGCATAATTCGTTGAGTAATGTCAGCGTGGTAATTAACACAGGTTAATCTCGTTACTTCTCGCCCACTCAGGTGCACACGCGCGTGCGCTGCGAGCATACGTGCGTGTGCACTCTTACATATATACATACACACACATACACGTACGTACACACATGCACACACTTTTTTAGTGGTACTAACAATACCATAAATACTGAAGTACGTACGTACGTATGTACAAGCACGCACGCAGGCGCACGCGCGCACACACACCACACACCACACACACAACACCCACCACACCACCACACACACACCACACCACACCAAAACAACACACACCACACACACACCAAACACACACACACACACCACCACACACACACCACACACACACCACCACACACACACACCCACACACACAACCACCACACACACACACCACACACCCCACCACACACACACACACCACCACACACACCCACACACACACACACCACACACACACCACACCACACACACACACACACCACACACACACAACACACCACACACACACACACACACACCACACACACACACACACACACACCACACCACACACACCCACACACACACACACCACACCACCACACAACACCACACACACCACACACACACAAACCACACACACACCCCCACACAAAACACACACACACACACACACCACACACACACCACACACACACACACACACACACACACAACCACACACACACAACACACACACCACACACACACACACACACACACACCACACACACACACACACACACACACAACACACACACACCACACACACACACACCACACCACACACACACCACACACACACACACACACCAACACACACACACAACCACACACACACACACACCACACCACACACACACACACACACACACACACACACACCACACACCACACACCACACACACACACCACACACAACACACACCACACACACACACCACACACACACAACCAAACACACAACACACACCCACACACACACACACACACACAACCACACACACACACACACCCCAACAACACACCACACACACCACACACACACACACACACACACACACACACACACACCACACACACACACACACAACACCCCACACACACACACACACCACACCACACCACACACACACACACACACCACACACACACACACAACACACACAACACCACCCCACACACCACACACCACACACACACACACCCCACCACACACACACACACACACCACACACACACACACACACCCACAACACACACACACACACACACCACACA